TTCCTCGTTTGCTCACTAGGATCGTTGTGAACGTCCATCTATGGAGGAATCACTCCACTAAACTGCGCATTATTGGTTGCATAGTTTTGTGAGGCTGAGTGATCCGGGTCTGTAGTTTATATCTCTGAGAAGAAAGTTGATTGAATAGTAAGACCGCATCTGGATGATTATGTGTATTGATCTGCATGTGTATAAAATCAGTGATATTTGCTGTGTGAGAAAATCATTACCGAATATGCCGAATATGACGGCTTATTTATATGTTGTTCTTTCTGAAGAGAACTACGGGAAATCATGACCGCGCCCGCGTTGTGTGTAATTACTGTTAGCATGTATATGGCTTTTAATTCGACAGTGTACAGTGAATATAATTATTTCTTATCTCCCTCATTTTTGAAATTCAGCAAATTTGTATATGTAATTTCCAGAATGGATAAGAAAAAGTGGATGCGCAACTAATTTCTAGCTTTGAATCTCAATTAAGTGTATTTGAGACAAGAACCCAATGTAATTATCATCAACACATACAACTTACAGCTTAGACCTCCAGTAATGCCATCTCAGAAGCAAAAAAACTCGGCATAATGTCACTTTTCAAGATACGTGATACCTGTGCCGGTTCGTGGGCGTTCATCGTCATCCGGATGAATCTACTGTCATCTAGACCACTACTATCGAGGTTCACTAAAACGCTGGAGTATTTCTCGATTCGTCGATAGAGGAATAAATATACGCAAAGACCGTGGAAGACGAGCAGCCAGGCCGACAACGGGCAATGAATCAGCAACACCACAATAGTCCAGTCGACATAGTTATAAATTTGTCATAAATGAGTTGCAAGTGTTGTGATAAATAAGTGTTTAACGTATAAATTAGACTTTGTAAGTCTTTTTGTTACAATATGTCAGGTGTATGGGCCAATAGAAGTACGTGCGCGCATCGAGAGTGGCTTTAAGCAGTTTCGAGACTGAATTGTGAATGACCTTAATCATTTTCAGAGCCTGAACTGCGCGCGTATCAGGTGTGAGTGTGACTGTTTTAAGTGACCATGCAGGTTTATTTTGGTGATCGCTTCGTCTTCGTTTCGTAGCCTGTGTGCGTGTGAGAGACAATGCTTGTGAAAAAGCTGTGCGATCTGAAAGTGGTGGCCCTGAGAATGGAGCTGGAGGAGACTGAGCTCGAGAACGGATAAAAGGCGACGTCTCAGGGACTACTTAGAGAGCCAGAGAGCCGTGGAGAAAATCCAGATACCTTCCAGTGTGAGGTTACAAGTTCCGTCTACGCAGAGCTTCTCGTATCTACGCTGAGGGACGAGAGCGGGGCTCTGTCACAGATGCTGAAGGAGGAGAACCAAGCCGTTTCCCAGAAACTGGACAACACTAACCGAGCGGTGAAGGAGGAGAACTAGGCCCTCGCAAAGAAGATGGAGATCACCCATGACCTCAGGAATGATCTCTCCAAGGGATTATCTGAGACGGCGGAGAAGCTTCAACGGGAACTACGACTTGAGCAGCTCAATCAAGTCATCAGTCATGATGTCGTGATAGACGATGTGGAGCGTCCTGTGAAGAAGGAAGAGCCTGTACCCACCGCAGCCAAGCTGAAACCTCCAAAATTCGATGGGAAGACGTCCTGGCCGAACTATTTGAAGCCATTCGAGGCAGCAGTTTGAGCTAATGATTGGTCCAGTAAGAATAAGGCCGTCGCATGTACTCAGAGGAAACGCTCTGGATGTTCTTCAGACAATACCAGTGGAGGACATGGGCAACTACGAGCAACTAGTCAAGCGCCTGAACTTGCGGTATTGTGATGCCTATCAGGAGCAGGTATACCAGTCGCAGACAAAGAACCGTCGACAAATGGCAAACGAGTTCTGCAGGAGTTCGAAGCAGATGTTGCGCGGCTGGTGCGCTTCGCCTACCTATCAGCTCCTGAGAACCTGATGGAGGCGTTTGTGGGCGGCATTCGCGACAGTGAAAATCAGCAAGTGGTTCGATTGGTACTTCCAAAGCCGCGAAAGAAGCATGTAGAAGCCATACCCCAGTGAGGCTGAATAGCGAAGAAGGGGAAGAAGCTAACCCCAGCAAACAAATCTTGGTGGCGCTGGTCGATTTCCTTAAATTAAGGGTTCGCTAACGAAGAAGACTCGAGCTGTACGCAGCTGGGACTGTAGAAAAAGGGACCACCCCCGGCAAAAATGCAAGCGACCAAGCAGAATAGCCGAGGAGCGAGCTTCAGCTCACGTCGTCGAAGCTGACGCAACATCGACCCGCCGCCGTGACTGTACGTGGATCGAAGAATCAGCGACAGGGCATATGCATTCCTGATCGACACCGGATCCATGAAGACCATCATGAGGCCAGGTCTGATTAAAAATTCACGGAAGCGGGTCTGATTAAAGGTTCACGGAAGCTGCTTAAATCTAATACCTGGAATTTTACGTACCGCGACAGGAGCTGCTGTTGGAGAGGTGGACGTGGAGTTGCCGCTTGGTTCCGAAATCCTCCGTCATGTCTTGAAGAAGATGTGGTCCTGGGAATTACCGTGATTGGCAACCATAAATTCCAGTTGGACTTGAAGACAGTATCCTCTAAATTGGACCATGACACACCATCCTACATAGTCGGAAGGACGAGCATGCCCATGTGATCATTGCTGAAGACCCCGTGGTATCTGCGAACAGAGAAGCCATCGTTCACTCATGTGTCGATAAAAACGTCGGCAATTGAGAGAGTCTCCTAGCAAAGCCAGCAGGTCACACGAACCAAAGTATGCTGGTGAGGAGCAGATGAAGCGAGAAGGGGTGATAAAGCCGTCCAGTAGCCCGTGGGCGTCACCTCTAAAGCTGGTGACGAAAAGAAGGATAGGAGTACTCGTGCCTGCGTTGACTATCGTCGTTTAAACAGCGTCACCAAAAAAAAAAAGGCATCCGTTGCCTCGCAACGATGCGGTATCTGAGTATGACGAGTAGTCAGCCGCAGTAGGGCTGCAGTGGACGCAGAGACAGTGCGTGCAATCAACAAATGGCTGATTCCTGCAGACAAGTCGCAGTTGAGGAGTTTTCTTGGGCTATGAACGTGTTACAGGATGAAAACTGTTAGCGCACCTTTGAACAACTGAAACAGCCTTTGATCAGCGCCTTGATCTTAGGATATCCAAATCGGGAAGAGAAGTTCACCCTTGATACAGATGCAAGCAACGTCGGCATTGGTACAGTGCTGTCACAAGGTCAAGAACACCAGGAACGTGTCATTCAGTATTTCAGCAAGTTCCTGTTGAATGTGTCACTAGGCAGCTGATGGCTGTGGTCAAGGCACTAGAGCACTATTACAAATATATCTACTACTAAGTGGCTCCTGCAGTTCAAGAAACCCGAAGAACGAGTGGCGAGAAGGATCGAGCGGCTCGCCGAGCATGATTTCGAGATTGAGCATGGTGCTAGGTTGAGCCAGACACTGCCCACCGGATTGGTCTCACTACAGTAACCTCGAGGAGAAGACAGCGACAACCGTAGTGGATGATTCTTGGTTGCCTGGCAATATCCGTGAAGACCATAACCGTGTCCCTGACATCAAATGGCGGCTGAAGCAGTGGAAGGAAGAAGAACGTCGACCAACCTGGGAGGAAGTCGCTCACTGTCACAAGAGGTCAAATCGTTCTGGGTCCAGTGGAACTCTTCGGTGCTGGAAAATGGCATCCTGAAACGAGCCGTGGAGAGCCAAGGTCCTCCGTCAACTCCACGATGAAACATTAGGTGTACATATAAGGGCATCAAGAATATGCCACAGTTGCAGACCTTCTGGCTGTAAACCTCATCAGCCGATTTGAAGTACTGCTAGAGCTGCACTCCGATCAGGGGAGGAACTTCGAGGGCGAGCTCCTTAGATGAGTCTCCAAGAACTTGGAAAATCAGGAAGACCAAACCTACCCCCCAATTGGGCTGGTGGAGAAGATGAGCTGGACCATCGGAAAGTACCTTTTTTATCTTCATTAATCGAACCCTTTCCAGCTAATATGCTTCATGGGCAGCATAATCATATATCTAATAAAAAATTATTATTTTCTCACATAGCATACGTATCAATAATCAGAAAGCACTGATGCTATAGACATGCAGACCAGTACACACAGATACTCGACCACAATATTTTCCCTGTCTTATCTTGTTCGAAACTATACTCTATAGACTATCACGGCAGCTTGGAACCCATAAACCGACCACAAACCATGCTAGCGAACTGTGAAATTTAGGCAAAATGAGGTAGTTGTGCTATTCCTCCATAGATGGCGCATTGACTAGCGACTACTTTGTGCACCATTTGACATTATACCGATTTTTAATGACATTATGTCGGTTTTTTAAGTAATATCCATACGGTACTTGACTGCCATGGGAAAGTCCTGGCAGAAGCACACTAAAGCGTTAAAAACTAAATTCCAAATCTTGTTTCGGTAATTCTACCCTATGCTATGTAGAAACTCAAAATTAAGTTTGGTGTTTTCTCGCCAAAACGCATTTGCGTAGTCTGTAGGTTTTGCAAAACAGAACCTTGTGTACAAGCACTAACGCTCCATGGTATGTCGCCAATGAGACCCTTCACATAGATCTTGACAGCCCTTACCAAAGGACTACATCAAACAACAAGCGTAGCTACCTTATAGTCAAGCGGAATCGCATAGCAACCCTTTGTGGCGCGAGTCAGTAGACTACACAGTCGAGCAAGTTCGCAAGCACAAGAGGCAGTGGCTAGCACTGTGAACAAAATTAAATCGTGCGACTTTAGGTCCAACCAAGATTATAATTTTTCTTCAACAACCAATCTCTAAATTAGTTTTAGGATCAATTTAAAATTGCCGAATACTAGTTAGCAATGCCAAGGCACCCCTCAAATTGACGCACTTCTTTCTTCTTTGGTCTCCCTCCTTGCTTCCTTTCTTTCTTCTTCCCTTCTTTCTCCCGGACTTTGTCTGGTATCTGACAGACCTACTGACTTACAAGACTATAACCAAGAGCAAAGGTCCTACGGACCGCTCTGACAGGTACTGACAAATAGAACGGTACTTGACTGCAAGAACGAACCTTGGTGCAGCTTAGTCGCATCTACAAATGGGGAAAGTGCTTTAGTATGGAAGTTTTTATGGCACGAACCGGCACTTCTGACAGTTGCATATGATTTATCATCCTTGACATCTGCCTTTTTTTGAAGAATGTATTCAATCCACAGGAACTCGTATCTGCACAATTATTATAAAGATGTGAACCCAAGACTGATCAATCGTTCTGTTCAAAGAGGTTAGTACATAAGGACAAAATGTTTACCAAATGATGATATCCATATTGCATTGGGTATACGAATACCTAATCGCTGATTCACATGTATGAAGTCACTTTAGCAAAATGATGCAGAGCGCGAACAAACTAAAAATAGATCAAACTACTTAACGTCATTTTTTTAACATTTCCATTGCAGCGATTGATTTTCTCGATTGCAATGACCGAACGTTGGTTCAGCCTGAACCATTGCCTTCTGAGCAGCCTGGTGCAAGTGAGGAAGCGCTGCCATATGTTTGTGAGGAGGATGTACCGTACCTAGGAGATATTACGGAGGATGGATATCCTGAGGCCATGCCGACTGAGTTGCAGCCACAAGTATCAATTGAGAAGCCAGCTTCTTCTAGACCAACCACGCATGAAGTGGCATTCCGCCAAGTCAAACGAGGTATGAAAAATATATTTTGATGGTGGAGTCCAAAGCCCGATGGAGCTAAAGATTATGAAAGAAAAAATAGTTGAGTCACTTTCTGTTCGTCGGAAAATATTAGATTTTATGGTCGAGGATTCTCGATGCGGGAATTTCCTGGAAATCCAAACCACTTCGATCCTGTACGAAGAGCCGAGAACTCTAAACTAAGCGAGTACGATAATGAATGTCCCAACACCCAACTTTTTCGTAACAGAACATCAGTAACGGTTGCTCGAGGTTGTGGCGAGTAGCATTTCGTGTAATATGTGAACAATCGATGGTGATGATGCAAGCAACAGTGACGCAACATTTGAAGAACATCTCATCCAAAAACATAGGGACCAGTTGATTCTTTGGCGGTTGTTCCCACTGCAGCTTGAATTTAGCTTGTTTGGGATTTTTATCATACTTTTTTTGCTGAATACATACTATTAGCAGAAGTGAAAGATAAGTATTTTTAGTTTTGGCAGTGTAAAAGCAGATTCATGATACGTTATTTAAAGTTATCAAATGTCAAAGATTTAATTTCAGGGGATAATTAACTAAGTTCCAAATCTTCAGACGAAGCTGTTAACGCTGCCATTCAAGGTCCCTTATACGTTTTTACAGCATTGGAAAATTCTCCACATACAGAACCTCCCTTGATATTGAATGGAAATTCTGGCTTGCGGAAAAAGAAAAATCAAACACCCTAGACAATATCGTGCAATAAAACGCCAGCGTTTCCGTGATAATTCCAGAATAAAAAAGCTGATATAGGCAACCCACCTGCAAAAAAATGGTATCAAGTAGATTGATTCTGCACTTCCCACGCAACATCGTCATCAGTTTATGAAGGGTTAAGATAAGTCAAACAAGCCCATACAATTAGTCCATAGACTAGGATTCTACCGTACCGGCTGTCCATCTGGTAACGTTGTCCCTATCTATATCTGCGCGGCGGCGCTGCAGTATAGATAGATTAGTCAGCCTGTTCGGTACGCCGGACAGTGAGCTTAGATAGCGGGAATGTGCGGATCGAAAACATTTTCCTCTCATTCTGTTTTGAATGCAAATGAACAGGAAAATCTATAACATACATATACAGCTAATAGGAGCATAGAATTTCCGAGTTTTGGTGCGTATGAGTATACTAAAATCTAAAAATATTTCATCTTCACCTTCTACAACCCTCACCCCACGAGTTTCAACCCCTACAAAAGTTTTCTGACAATGATTGCAATAGTTCCTTGCCAACGGGCGTAGCAAGTAAAATGGACAGAATTTGTTTAAACCATAAACCATTTTAAAACCTGCACATCATCATTTTCTTTCTGAGATTTTCTGATTTTAGAAGAGTTCTTCCTAGGATTTTATCTTTAAAGGGATTGTTACAAACGCCTATAAGGCATTTTGCTTAAGCTTAATCCTCGTCCTCAAAAAATTCAACTTTCCATTGTCAGATCTAGAGTGAAATCGTGGATCTACGCTGGCTTTTTGTGATTGCTTGATGAACATAGAAAAATATATTTCATGAAATATTTTAGCGTTCCCAGCGCTAATAGACGAGCATGATTTGGAACCCCCTCTCAACCGTATGACCTCCGAGCAACCAAACATACCAGTGCAATATGTGGATGCCACAAGGCGACCACTGGGATTTGGCTGTGTGGCAATGCGAAAACTCAGGAGAGAACTTCATCACAAACATGAAGAAGTCGTTATTGCAGCCATTGAGAGTATTTGTGATATTGTGCACGACCCAGAAAGAGGTGAGCATATCATGGCTGAAAATTTTGAATATAATCAGGGCAACGGTAGACGAAGTTAGATGGTTCACGATAATCGTCAACGTCTTGAAGAAGAAGTACCTATGAGATAGACGAGTAGTTTGAGTGTTTAACGATACTTATCCAAACCTAATTCAATCAGCAACATTTTAAGAACACATAAGGGTTATTATTGACATCCTTCGCAAATTCACCCATTCACTGTTCATCAAAGGTAATTGTTATACAGGGTGCTTCACTGGGAAAGGGAGATATTTTAACCATGGATAGAGGCCACTGTAGTGATTATAAATAAACTATGTTCGATGGGTATTTAGCCCCCTTAGTTTTATTGATTTTAGCCATTTCTTTACGGACTCATTTCAACGTCAAGCGAATATTTTCAAATGCAACTTTCACTTTTTTGAACCGGCATTTGGAAAGGGGAGGAAGTTTTACGTCCTAATACGAGCTTGACTAAGACCATCACCGTAACATTTTAAGATAAAATCAAGACATTGAAAACAATTTGCTACAATAAAAATGTTCAAGAGAGAGTTGCTAGTTCTGTAGGGACAACTAAAGGTGACCTTGACCACGACCTTCAGAATCATGTCAAAATGTTACATGTTTAAGCATAATAGTTCTTACTTTCTGAAATTCGGGCATAAAAATCAAGGGGCTGCATTGCAAATAACGTTAGAGATTGATGTGGCGTTAACTTTGAGGTCAAGGTCACATTCGGATGTAACATGACCTGCTTTTTCCAGTTCCAGGATAAAAATGAGGGGGTTACTTTGAATATTTTGAGATCCCCACAAATCTCAAAACTGTGCTGTCGAACATTTTTCCTATATCAAATTGTTTTCAATGTCCTTGAATGTCAAGGTTAATGACATATTCGAATATAGACTTTCCTCTTATTTCCAAGCCCAGTCCATTCGAAAATATTCAGTTGACCTTGAAATAACCTTCCGTCACAACTATTTTGCATCTCGCAATCCTACAACTTTTGCTTGTAACTATTTTTCTAGGATGCGCAGTTTTTATTAGTAGTATTGATATGGGGAGATTAAAGTAGGACACACTGTATATTGAAATATCTTAATTTTGTTCACATATGTGGAAAGAGTACGGAAATTTCGTTCTAACGATACACTTTTGTTATTTGAGTAGACGATTTTGTATCTATGTATGTATGTATGTGTTAGATTAGAGAACGTCCTCTTATCGATCAGTTACTTCGTCTAGGTCAATAAGCACGTAGTTACAGGTCCGTTTTAAGAATTAAAGGTACCGTGCATGTGCAAAATAACGCAGGGGCGACTGGTTTTTCTTATATACAGGGTGACTTTGAAGTTGAGTCATTAATTTTCAGATAATGATTGTAGAAGGAAGATAAACCAAAATATGTGTGTAAAAATAAAAAAAATAAAAAAAAAATGTTACCTTGTTTCATAAAGTATCCTCCCGACAAGTATTTCAGTGCGGACCTGTATTTCATCCTGCGGTCTTGTAGCACCGGCATGCCCTCCCCTGTGAGGTCTTAAGTCACCTGATTCACGAGCCATTTGTACTACATTAACAAAGGCTCGAGGGGTTGGTTGCACTCGATTAAGAATAAGAATCATGTCCACAAGTTCAGCATTTTCGTAAACGTGTGCCATTTTTTATTTCTTTTGAGCCACGCAACAAACACCACTATTGACTCACGCGTTACCGACTGACACATTGACTGAATACAACTGAATAATAATTGTAGTAAAAACATCGTTTCAAATTCTTTCGCTTTTTTGTTTCTGATGCGATGAACCGATAAGGCAGATTGCCAAACACGAGCACATAATATTATTATTGAGACAGGGCGGTACTCAAACTTCTAAAGGGCTATAACTTTGTTACTTTAATTTTACCAGAAAAATGTTAAAGGAAAAAAACATTTCTTTTGATCAGATCTACTCACTGTTAAAATAAATGACTCAACTTCGAAGTCACCCTGTATAACGAGTTTGCAAACAATCGATTTGATAGGATAAGCTGGGTACACATATTCAGTTTGAAAAATATATTCAAATGTAAAGTTGTAAAGTCTTGGAAAATGGTCAAAATCGATTAATTCTACTTTATTTGACACTTTCGTATTCCAATCATATCCTATTGAATCGATTGTTCCGTCTCGTGCTTAAATCACACACCACACTTGGATTGGTATCACCGAGGCAATGTTACCATTTACACTGCTTGTGATGTTACGGCTGTGTTATATTGGTGTATACGAGTATGTAAATCTGAGAGACCGTCAATGAAAATTTGTGTATTCACAACCGCCAATCTTTAGTTCTTAATACGGTTCTGGAAGTATGTTTTTATTGGTCTAGACCAACGAATTCAGACTAGGTAGAAGGAGCCAGTCAAGGATTTGTTTGTCTTGTAGTGAGGATCACAGTGCACTTGACATAGGTCAATTTTTTGACAATTCTTCAGACTGGGCAGAAGGAGCCAGCTGACATTAAATTGGCATATTTAGTGTTATTTCTTAAAAGGTCGAGTCTTTGCAGATAATTGTGGTGTTAGACGTCTCCAAGACATAGTACTTCTTATATATTTTTTTTATACTCCAACTACCACGAAGGCCTAAGGCCTAAACACCCATTGGGTACCGTGGGACTATAGGGGGGGATACAGGGGAAAGGGGGAACGCCACACGGACTCTGGCGAGGGAACACGTGTGCATGCAACATGCACACATTCTGGCTCCGCCTACGAGATCCGCCGGGTGATACCTCCACGTTCGACAGTCAGAGACCGTCTACCACCTACGGACAATCACAACATCCATAGCCAAGAGAAAAATTTCTCCTGGGACGGGACTCGAACCCGCACAGCGCACGGCGACTGATCAGGAGACCGAAGAGTCTACTACTGCGGCCACCGCTGCTGCTGCTGACGAGGGTTGTCTCAAAAATAAGGTTCCCAACGCTGTATCCTTGCCGCGCGTTCTGCTAGGCAACATCTGTCAACACCGTCGTGTTTGTCGGCATTCAACATGTGCTCAAATGGTTAAGAGAGTACTCTGACTGCCGCACGGACATCCACGATGAACAACGAAGCAGGAGGCCGTCGATCTCCAAGGAAGTTGTGGCAAAGATTGAGCAAATCTTGCTCGAAGATCGGCGACTCACGATCCAGGAACAGGCGGTTGATATTCCTGAAGCTTCTGAAAAAGCTCGTAAGCGAAAACACACCAAAGCGTAAAACTACATCACAACAATGCGCATCCTCATGTCTCACAACAAACGAAGGACTTACAGCCCATAAAGTTTTCAAAATTGAAGGAGCACCTAGGCAGTCAACGGTCTGAGACGGAGTGCAAGGAGCAGTTACCAAGTTTCCAAACGGGTTGCCGGCGGACTTCCTTGATGCGGGAGTGCAAAAATGCGTAGAAAAAAAATGGCGACTATGGAGAAAAATAGCTTAAAGATCAATATTTCCAACAGTGCACTCGGTTTTTCAAATAAAAAGTTCCTTGTGCCTGACAAATACGTCTAATAATGGTAGATGTTTCCACAAGTCGGTATTATTATTATGATGATACAACGCTTTAGTAGGCAATGGTAGACAAATGAGTCAAAGGTATACACTAAAACTACAGAAATTTGGCGACAAACAATGCAATGTAAACACTTCTAATCTATTCGAATTCGTAGGTCTAGACGAGATAACTTCTTGCAAGTCTAACGCATATAGACTTGAATAGTAAGTTTTATTGATTGACCATAAAGTCCCCAGTTTTGTTCTCCAAAATCGACAAAATCAGTATTTCCAGCTCTCACAAAATCGACAGCTCAATTAATTAAACTGGATCATTAGTATGAAGTATATGTATGTGATATTTAAAAATATGCAATTCAAAAATTCCTATATTTCTTTTCCTGTTCGTATCAGTTTTTTCGCTAGCATAAGATGAGGTACGCGTAATAAGTTTCAGAAAAGTCTAACGGTTCTTATGATGATCAATCACCTCATCAGTGGCCTCTATCCACAGCTAAAATATCATCCTCTTAAAGTGAACAGGATGAATGTTTCATAGGTTGCACTACAGTCGAATTTAAATTTATTATCGTCGATCTTCTCCATATCTATTGTTGGACGTACAAAATTATTATTGTTGAGAGTAGATGAGTAGAACTTAGGGTTAACAATAAGGTTTAATTCATCTTAACCGGTCTACTGAGTTTGGATCTGCAAGATGTATGGAAAATTGAACTTTTATTAAATGACATTGTAAAATCATTACAGGTTACGAAGCGATAAACCTAAAAATTGTGAATCGTCTGGTAGACATGATTGCTCACGAGAACGCGGCAATCCGGGAAAAAACATGTAAAACTTTAACTGTATTGGCTGGTTTGGCAGCGGGAAAGGAGGCTATAGTGGATAACCCATTCTTGCTAGAAAACATAGCAATTTGCGTTGAGGATTCACATCCAGAAGTACGGATGCACGCAGCTTCCATGCTGGAAATGATTGCCAGGTTTTGGAAAGGTATTTGTTATTTCATCGAACGAGGTTATCTATAATATGAGCGATGTAACACCAGTACCTACTAAAGAGAAACAACAATTTTGTGATGTTTTCGAATATACGTGAGGTGGACTTATAATCGCGTTTAAAATTGTCTTCAAATGATGCAGATCTTGCGGTCTTTAATGGCGGCCATGGGAAATTGGGTACTCTTGGAAATCTTTTGATCAGCATTGGTATAAGGTGTCCCAAAAGTCATGTCTGAAACGAAAGATTGTGATAGGGGGATCACTTCTAATCAGGAAAACTGTATATACCTATGTGTGTATATATATATATATGTGTGTGTATATATATACCTCTCTCTGTATATACTTTGAAGTTGAGTCATTAATTTTCAGATAATGATTGTAGAAGGGAGATAAACCAAAATATGTGTGTAAAAATAAAAAAAAATTAAAAAAAAATGTTACCTTGTTTTATAAAGTATCCTCCCGACAAGTATTTCAGTGCGGACCTGTATTTGATCGTGCGGTCTTGGAGCACCGGCATGCCCTCCCCTGTGAGGTCTTAAGTCACCTGATTCACGAGCTCTTTGTACTACATTAACAAAGGCACGAGGGGTTGGTTGCACTGGATTGGGAAAGCGATCCGCATAAATCCGTGATGCCGCGTAAATAAGAATCATGTCCACAAGTTCAGCATTTTCGTAAACATGTGCCATTTTTTATTTCGTTTGAGCCACGCAACAGACACCACTATTCACTCACGCGTTACCGACTGACACTGACTGTATACAACTGAATAAAATAATTGTAAAAGCATCGTTCCAAATTCTTTCGCTTTTTTGTTTCCGATGCGATGAACCGATAAAGCGGATTATATCCGGTGTTGCCAAACACGAGCACATAATATTATTATTGAGACAGGGCAGTACTCAAACTTCCAAAGGGCTATAACTTTGTTACTTTAATTTTACCAGAAAAATGGTAAAGGAAAAAACATTTCTTTTGATCAGATCTACTCACTGTTAAAATAAATGACTGAACTTCGAAGTCACCCTGTATATATAGACAGAGAGAGAAAAGGATCATGCTGAAAAAAGGTATATAACAAATAGAACAAAAAATTGGCAAATTCCGTAATAAGAAGGAAAGTACACTCGAGCAGAAAATAGGATAGGTAACCCGAACGATACGTATTTCTGCTTGTTGGCTTCATCAGGCCCGAAATGAATGCACATATGCAAGTACAAAAGTAGATACACTTGCCCATACATTCGGATACGGGTGTAACCTGAGGAAACGAAGATGGAGAGGGAAAGAAAATGACACACGAAGTCACAAACAAAAGCCAACCTACACATTGTATTATAAAATGAGTAGAAGACCTCGAATTTTCAAGACGACATCTACCACAACCATGCATCCGGTTATACCCACTTGCTGTCGAATTTCAAGCCCAAAGGATCTACAAGGGAAAAAAATGATCATGCGAAAAAAGGTATATAACAAATAGAAGAAAATAATAGGCAAATTCCACAAATGAAAGAAAAGTGAATTCGAGCCACATCAAGTGGCTATAACCGGCCGCGTGGTTGTGATTATATGTCGCCTTGAAAATTCTAGCCATTATATACTACAATGTATAAGTTGGCTCTTGTATGGGGACTTCGTGTCTCATTTTTTCCCTCTCCATCTTCGTTTCCTCAAGTTACACCCCTATCCGGATGTATGGGCAGGTGTATCTACTTTTGTGGTTGCATATGTGCATTCGTTTCGGGCCTGATGAAGCCCACAAGCAGAAATGCGTATCGTTCAGGTTGCCTATCCTATTTTCTGCTCGAATTCACTTTCCTTTTTTTTGCGGATTTTGCCCATTTGTTTCCAATTTTTTGTTATATACGTTTCTCCGCATGACTATTTTCTCTCTCTCTCTCTATATATATATATCGTTATCTGACTGTACACAGTATTAGAGTTATCGCGTATTTTAACTAAGGTACCTGTACCAAATAAGGCCAAGTACCTAATAAGGCCATGCGTCGATTTTACAGAAACTATTAACATTCAAAATTAAAGATTTCTGCAGTTCTACAAATTTATTGAGAGCAGTTAGCAACCATAAATTTAGCAACATAGGTTTTCAACATGTGCTTTATAAAATTTCTGCTTTAAATTGTCTCGGTTTTTCCATGTTGTCGGCTTCTTTTTGCGGAATCTCTTGTTAATTCAATCATGTAAGGCCAGGCGCGCACATGTGATTTTCGGTCGCTCGATCGTTTAGTCGCAAAAATGAAACACAGTTTTTAATACAAATGCGCGCATATGCGACTAAATAATCACCGCGGCTAAAAAGATGTAACCAGTTCTATTCAAGAAGCGACGCGATTATCGCACATTAAAATAAGTCGGACAGGAATGAACGTGCACCCACCTGCGACTAGAAATTCAGTGTTCAACGACTGTACCGCGCTGCGCTGGGATGTTGATTTTTTAAATTTTAAAATATCTGACGACGAATTGTCCACCAGGGATGACCGTCCAGATAGTGTCTTGGACACAGAAAGAATAATTACCGAGGTGGAAAAAAGACGTGCTCTTTACAACAAGCAACCGAAAGAGTATACTGACCGGAACTTGAAGGAAAAAGTGTAGGGCGAAGTTTGTATGAATGTAATACGCAATTGGATGGAATTATCTCCAACGGGAAAACAAAAGAAAGGTATTTTCATGCTGTTTATTTTCTTTGTTAGTCTCAGGTGTTATAAAACGGTACAGCTCAAATTTTAACATATCGCCACGGTCTTGAGCCTTCTGGGGATGTAAAGTAATTTGCAAGATACTATCGGATTTTAAGACCACACATGTTAGCCCGTGTTCTAGTCGGATGACAGCTTTGCATAGGAGATTCGTATAACTCATCCTCAACTCGTATACCAACCTTTTTCCGCACAAAATTATGCAAAACACAACATGCTTTGATAATATGGTTAGCAAATTCGATAGCTACATCCATAGGCCGATGGAAAATTCGCCATTTGTCGGCTAAAATCCCAAACGTACATTCAACCATCCGACGAGCGCGAATCAGTCTGTAATTTCATTGGTAGGGATAAGGGATAAGGCCGCAAAACATGTTCTGATAGAGCGAATGCCTCATCTCCTACAAGAACGTAAGGCATAAATTGGCCAATTTCATCATTAGGTAGCTTTTGTGGATTTGGAACATTTAATTGCTTATTATTTAGTCTTTTGCCGAAATTAGAATTTCTGAAAATATTAGAATCACTGCCTGCACCATATGCTCCCACGTCTATCGCAATGCAACAATAGTCGGCGTCAACTACACCCACAAGAATTGTCGAGCAATAATTTTTATAGTTGTAAAACTCTGTGCCGGTCTTATCAGGTTTCTTTAATCTTATGTGCTCCCCGTTCACAGCTCCAATACAATTTGGAAAATCAGTTCTATCATAAAACTTGTGTGGCAATATTCAACCAACTGTCTTCGGATACGTCTGGCATAAACTCTGGATGTACACATATCCAAATTTGTTCACAGATGTCTTTAACAATTTCTCTGACTGTAGTAGCTCCAAGAAGGTATTTAAAGTGTAAAGAATTGAAACTGTTACCAGTGGCTAGATATCTGAAACAAAAAATTGTATCAATAAAAATAATAATTACATGTCTGTTCGAATTTAACAAAAATTGGTTTCATATTGCAGGAAAAGAAATACAGAAAAAGTGGAAGAATCTGAAGGACTGCTTTGCAGGGGAACTTGCAGCTCAACGAAAAGGGGAAAATGGTGAACCTGCAAAAAAAAGACGAAAATACATTTATTTCTATTTGTTTTTATTTCTGCTTCCATCCATGAATGATTGACCTACAAGTAGTAACACTGCACCTATAGAAAATACTAACGACAATATCCAAGAACAGAACACGCCCACTCAAGGTCCTAATTTACAAGACAACAATGAAGATCAACTGAACACTCCAACGCGTCGTCCTAAGAAAACACCAAAAAAAAATAACGTCCTACGAAAGCTCTCTAATAAGCATCCTTCAACAAAAGCAAAACGAAGATATCGGCGAGAACACGCAATTTGCTTTAATGCTTGTCCCCATGCTACAAAAACTGAACGACGAACAAAAATATTACGCTAAAATAGAGATTGTAAATGTAATGAAATATGCCAGGAATTACTATGCTCCGCCAGTTGTTCACTATCCTGACATGACCCGTAGAGGTAGCTACAAACCGCCTTCGCAGGTACTTCCATTCTCCAACTGTCAGCCATCGGGACACCTGCAAACCATTTCGCAGCCACCAGAAGATTCACAAACCGTTTCGCAGCCATCAAGACATCCACAAACAACCGTTTCGCATAATTCAAAATGTTCTATGAAGAGTTACTATTCGCAATTTTCAGATAGTATACTATCTCCCACGGCAGGTTCCTCCTCATGTGACTACTCTATGACATTATCTCAGACATTATCACCTGCACGCTCTGATTCTAATAATGAGTTGTTTGAGTTGTCAAATCAATAACACAAAATTTTTATGAGAATAAAATCATTTAAAAAATAGTGTATATTTATACTTACCTCAATGTGACCGATAAACGCTGTTCAGGTGCCACCGAATTTCTCCACTTAGTGTTTAGATATGTTATTTTCGACCCTATTCCTTGAAGTAGTTCATCAAAACTATTCACACTCATCCTAGAATATTGAAAAAATGTATGAGGATCTCTCAAGTCGTTATAAATTTTATAAAATTGACCTTTCAGCAATCTTTGACTTATCACTAGATGTACCCAGTATTGCTTTTTACGTCGTGTTTTGGCTTTATGTCGTAATATCAACGCAACCATACAAGCAGTTTGAGTAAAATCCATGATGGTACTAAATGTAGTTACGACTAATTCATCGCAAGTGCGCGCCCAAAAAATTGTAAATACATTTTTCCGCGATCACGATTTTTCAGGCGTGCGACCGAAAATCGCATGTGCGCGCCAAGCCTTAGTCTATAAAGCATATGCAGGTAGTTATTTGCTGTTGCCAGGTTTTGAATGTTCTCAATTTTGTAAATTTAAGGTTAGATGTGCATAGTAAGGCCATTTTAAATGGTTCCTATTACGGCCACTTGACATTATTAGGAGCATACTGGCCTTTATGGGAGGCGTCACAAAGTAAGGTGATATTTTTTTCTGATACTTTAATCGAAATATGCAATCTAAGAAAAGGTCGCTGTAGTCAATCGAAGCGCTTGTACAGGCAGTGGATAATATAAACAGTGGAATATCGGTAAATCGTGCATCCAGAGAATACCAAATTGCACGAAGAACACTTCGCAGTCATGTTCGTACAGGTGTGAGAGAGAAAACTTGGTACTCGTACGATTTTGTCTAGAGAGCAGGAAGATGAACTATGCTCAATCGGATAATCAGAGACAGGAATGCCCCTTATACCGAGGATTTTGCGAAAATCCGTGTTTTCCTATGTTATTGGAAAAAAATCCTTACACATTTAATGAAAACAGTGAAATGGCAGATAGAAAATGATTGAAATTGTTTTTGGACATAAGTTTTAAGGAAATACTTCCTACACCCGAATGGCAGACCAACGCCACAAAAAGACGCCACAATTCTACTGCGCATATCGTTGTAAGAGATTTGTTTAAAGATCCAACTCCAGGTCCATCCGGCTTAGCTAAAACAACAAAAAAATCTAGTGAATCTGAAATCTTTAAAAGTAAAAGGTCGCAGAAGAATAAAATCGGAAACTGGTACTGTTTCATATGCGATAAGGATGAAATACGTAACATGAGTCTGTGTGTGATATGCTTAAGATATGTCCATAAGGAATGTGTAGGCTTGTGCAGAGGCGATAAGGTATCATTTGTTTGTCATCAATGCGAAGGCAAAATCTAAGATTCTGTATGATTTTAAGTATGATTTTTTCAAACAAGTTGATTTTTTTAGTTGAAATCTATCTGGACTTTAGAATTATTTATTGTTGTTAATTGGAAAAACAACTTCGTTTATTCAACAGTCTTGTTTCATATTTTGAGCGTGACTTTATTAAAAACCAGATCATGGCCTTATTTGGATACCTAGGTTCCTAATAAAGTCAACGGTAGTGTTTCAAATAATATATTTTTTATATGAAAAGAAAAAATCTCGGAGCTCTCTCATAAATACAGCTTATTCACTAAACATACCTATAATAATATCTTTAAAATTTCATGATCGTTTTGCAAATATTTATGAAGTTACAGCTATCCAAACGTCAACGTGACCTTATTTGGTACAGGTACCTTATTCAATTCACATTCAAAGAGATACCACGTAGACAGTGGCGTGCGATGTGTTTTTTGGGTAGCCGAGTATAGCATCGGAATCGCAATAATAGAATCATACAAGTGGAATAAGTACGGCATTGTATCTCCAAGCCTTTTATAGATAGTACTGTCAATAGTTTCTTATCCTATACATGGTTTCTATTTTTTACAAAAGGCTGTTTATCTGGTTAGTTCATACGGCACAGTTTGCGTAACTAAAATAATATTAATGCTGCCACCCTTACATTGGTTAGACCTGGCATCAATTTTAGTTCGAGGATTTATTACCGCTTAATTAAGGCATTGATAAACATATCTTGCGCAGAAACTATTCAGGTATTTTATTTGGCTAAAGGTATTTTGGAGGGTCATAGTATCCGAAAGTTTTTTCTGTATACAGTTTATCTGCGAACCCATTTTGTCTAGAAGGCACATTGATTTACATTCTCTACACCCTAGGAACAAGGAAGTGGTGGGACCGGCGAGTTCTGGATATACGAAGTTCGACACGGTTAGGGTGGGAGGCCGAAGTCTGGCGGCGGCATCATATGGGGGAGAGCTCTGAGGATCAAAGCAGGTCAAATAGAGGACGGATTGTCATTGCGAAAGTGTGCGGAGACTGTCCATTAGAGGAATGTCACCGATTAGTCGGACATCCCTCCTTTGAACAGCATCGAGTATGAACAATGTAGCCAGGATGACAGCATCCCAAAAATGTGGGGTGTACTCGAGGCTAGATTTTATCTGGGCCTTGTACAAAGTGAAAAAGTTACATATAGAAAATTACTTCTTAGCCCTAAACAAATAGGATAGCTTTTTCCCAGCAGCTGCCGCGATTGACGAGATGTGTTCGTGCCAGATCAAGTCTCGGTGATCGGGACTCCGGTCAGCAGCAATAATGCACTTTGGTAGAACTCGGCCATCTATCCAAACCATGAGCACTAGTTTCGCTTCTTGTTAGTCAATGTTCAGTACTGTGTTTGAAAGTATTATGCTGTACCACGTTGTTGAGTACCCAAGGAACGATAAACTACACATTTCTCTCAGAGAGGAAGTCGCTTCTAGTCTCCTTGTCTCCAGCTCACCGGCAGAGATGGGCTTGGCACTCCGAATTCCTGCATATATGTATATTGCTTTCGTCATCAATGCTGTGGATCGGATTGATCGTACAGGAAATGAGGTCGTTGATATGGAATAGAAACAATATTGGTGCCAAGACCGATCCCTAATGGACACCCGAGTTGAGACTGTGAGATGAAAAGGATAACCCGTCAATTTCGACGGATATCTTACGGCCAGAGATGAAGTCAGCCACCCAGCTGCATAGCATCTCTGGTAGACCATATGATGGAAATTTACATACGAGTGTAGTATGCCACAGATGTTCAAAAACTCTCGTGATATCAAGAAAAACGGCATGAGCCTCACCATATGACTCGACGCGTTTGGTCCACAGTTGTATGGCGTAAGCTAGCTGGTCCGCCGTTGATCGCTGGTGGCAGAAACCTTACTGTCTTCCGCTAAGCAAGCCGTTCGAAAGACCCCACAATCTACCGATTTATGCACTCCTCCATGACCTTACTGCCAACAGACACTAGAGCTGTAGATCTGTAGTTGCAATGGTCGATCTTAGATCCTTTTTCTGAGACCGGCTAGACATGAGCAACTTTCCAATTGTTTGAGAAACGACCGAATTGGTAAGATATCTGGAAAAGACGCGGACGAGCTGGAGCACATTTCCTCAGTACTGTAGCAAGAATCAGGTCAAGATCAGAAAATTTGTTGATATCTAGCGAAAAGAGCACCTGATGGTTACTTCTTGCATAGTGTGGGAAACCTTGGAATCGACGACGCGGTGGAGTTAGCAACAAATATCTTGACATGCACTTTCAACCTTAGCCTTTGAATCGGATATAAACCTTCCATCTTGGCACGTAAGCGGTGGAAGGCTGCTCTTCGAAAAGTTTCCTTAATCTACTTGGCCAGCGTCAGAAAGGCCGACAGCTATTACGCTGCGACATTACCCTGTGCCTAACTTTTGCATCGTGTGTCTTTAGCATTGTGAACTGCTTCCTTATATTTGTTCCCAGATTCAACGTCGGCTTGTCTGTTCGCTACGGTGGACTTTTGTAAAAAGGTTCTGTGTGCCTTGATCTTCTATCGATAAGCAATGTCGCACGATTTATTGAACCAGCGCTTATACCCTAGTTTAGGTACCTTCACTGTATGAGGCATGTATCCCTCCATCCTAATGTGGATTACTTCAGAACAGACAGCTGACGCACCCTAATTAGCAAACCAAACGCCTCTCCAAGGAAAGCCGGTTCTGATTGAAACCTGACCTCCCGAGTTACCCAGGGAAAACAGGACAACAGGGCTGTGAGGGACAGGATGCATGAACAGAAAGAGATCCAGCAGACTTCTGGCTAGTGATAAATCGCGAGGGATAGAAGTAAGGCTCGTCACTAACTGGGTCAATCCTTGGTTAATGCTGCAACGGTCTTGCTTGAGCCCAACCAAAGTTCATTATGGACATTAAAATCCCCAAGCAGAACTACCTCTGATGCAGGGTGATCGATGTTCAAGAAAAAGATCTTGCCAGCGAGGTATTTGAGTAGGTCATCCCAGTTATGGTCCGAGAGACAGTGATAGAGGCAGAAAGCAAATTTCGAGGATGGTTTGAAGTTGAGCCGAAGCCACGGAATGTCTTTTTGGTCTGATCTCAAAGAAACGTCTGTGGAGCAGAAAAGACCGCTGACTGCTAAGCCTTTCCAGTCAGCGTGCACGTAATATCAAATTTTGCAGCCTGGGAGAGTTTCTATTGTGAATGCTTCAACGGCTCGGGGTGGGTTGAGCCCAACCAGAGTTCATTATGGGTATTGAAGTGACCGATGACGACTACCTTTGAAATGGGGTGATTGGTATTCAAGAAGTCGATCTTGCCAGCGAGGTTTTCAAGTGGGTCATCCTGGTGATGATCCAAGGGAGAGCCACAGAGGCAGAGAACAATTTTGGGGGATGGTTCAGCCGAAACCAGAGAATGTTGTTCCGGCCTGATTCCAAAGAGGCGTCTCTGGAGCAGAAGAGACTGCTGCAGATAAAAGCCACAGGTCTCCCATTCTTCCTCTAATTGAAAACTAAGATGGTTAGTCGGGGCAGAATGGCAGATTGATAGTGGTGAACAACATTAACGTTACTGTTAATACCGAAGTTGCTCGTGAAGAAGATTTTATTATCGATGTTATTCCCTCGAGTCAGTCCCCCCTCTACCTGAACAGTTCAAGAGTGGGGTGAGCTCACATCCGGAATTTTTAGTACTCGAAGGACGTATCATAATTTTTTGTTGGGAGGAAAGCAGAAAAAGAAGAAAATGATTTGG